ACAGAGGCAACATACGTTCGTGCAGACCGCAGGAACACGGCAGAGCAGCACGGTATAACACAGCAGTGCCGCAGACCACCACGCACGGATACACATGCACATCTGTCACGCACGCACGCGCGCGCTAACGCACGCACGCCACGACAATTTGCGCGGCATACCAACACAAGAACATCCTTCACAGACCTATACGACCACCCTTCGGGTGATAAGGAGGTTGTGGGGGGGGAGGGGGGGAACCAACATCTGATTCAATCGATCTCACTATCCACCACGGGACACCACGGGACACTTGTCGATTTCACTATCGATTTCTCCATCGATTTCACCATCGATCTCACTCAGCGGGACACCGCGGGACACCGGGGGCCACCGTTGGTCACCACGGGACACCGCGGGACACCTTTCGATCTCACTATCGACCGCACTATCGATCACACTGTCGATCTCATTCAACGGGGCCCCATAGGACACCACGGGACACCTCGGGACACCACATCGATCTCACTATCGATTTCAGTACCGATCTCACTATCGATCTCACTCAACGGGACACCACGGGACACCTGTCGATCTCACTATCGATCTCTCTTTTTGGGACACCACGGGGCACTTCGGGGCACCACATCGATCTCACTATAGATCTCATTGTGGATCTGACTACCGATCTCATTCAACGGGACACCACGGGACACCGCGGGACACAGCGAGCCACCGCCAGACAGACGGACGGATGGGTGGGCGGGGGATAATCATGTGTCTTGACTTCGCCCTAGCAACGGCGGACACCACGGGACACCACGGGACACCACGGGACACCGCGGGACACCGCGAGCCACCGCCCGACGGACATACGGGAGCGAAACATCTGTCTTGACGCCGCCCTAGCAGCGGCGGACACCACGGGACACCACGGGACCCTTTGGGACATCGCTGGGGCCACCGCCGGACGGACGGACGGACGGACGGACGGGGGAGCAACATTTGTTTTGAGTTCACTCTAGCAACGGCACGTTCATTCCTCTCGCGCGCCCACCTCGCCCGCACGCACGACACGAACGAAACGAAACGATTTCCCAGTTGGGGGTCTCTGTTCCACTGCGATGTCACCCCCCAACCTCCGACCTAGTGGACAAAGTGACGCTTCCCGTTCTTGTCCGGCCATGTTACTAAAGTGGCGATTTCGCTTGAGACATCCTCACAAAAATGAGATCCTCGCGACATCGAGTTTAAGACAAGCAAGTGTTTCGCTCGAGAGCCATCCTAGCCAAAGTGAGGTGTCCACGGAGGTGTCTCACTACTTCTTTGGGGACAGCCTCCAACAAATAAGATGTTCTCAACATCGTCTTGACATCGCTTTTGAAGTGCTTCAAGATGAAATGAGAGCCCCCCAAGGACCTCAATATGGCTCCAAGAGCGCCCTGATGACTGCCGAAAATGACGATTTCGCTAGGGATATCCTCAAACAGTGAACACATGCAACAGCATCGTTTTCTAAGCTGCTACTCTAACATTGTCTTGGGATCGCTCTTGAAAAAGGCTTCCAGACGGCCCAAGCCAGGCTTCTGATAAGGACGATTTCGCTAGGGACATCCTCAAACAGATAAGTGTGACATCGCATTGGCATCGTTTTCGATGGTATCGAAAAGGCCCCGAACGAGCCCCGAACGAGCCCCAAACAAGCCCCAAACGAGCCCCAAAATGACCCCAAGCGCGTCCTCGAGATTCCTCAACATGCGCATGTGGCTCGATACATCTTAAAGACATGAGTTGTTCGCAACACCGTCTGTCAGAAAAACAAGCATTTCGCCTGAGACATCCACCAGAACATGAACACCGCGAATTTAACAAACGTATGCAAATGAGGATATCGCCTGAGACATCCTCAACAATGAGATGTTGGAAAGGCTGATTTAAGACCATGCATGTTGAAACTGAGTTTTTCGCCTGAGACATCTTCAGAACATGGGCAGGATCACGGCAGCCCAGAGCGCAGAAGCACGGCAGAACGCGCAGAAACACGGCAGAACGCAGGAGCACTGTAGAACCCAAAGAACACACGGGAACACGGCATAACAAACAGGAGCTTTGCAGAACACAGGAGCACGGCAGAACACACATGAGCACGAGGAACACGGCAGAACACACATAATACACAGGAGCATGGCAGAACACACAGGAGCACGGCAGAACACGCAGGTGCACGGCAGAACGCACAGAACACACTCCGTAGCCATTTTGGCTCAAGCCTGCCTTGGGCGCCAAGCGGGCGGCAGCGTTGGGTTTTGCGCTTCTTGCCTGGTCAAGGGGAAGCGTTATCCTCTTGCCGCGGCCATGGCCCAGGCGGTGGCTACGGTCCCGCCCCCGCGGGGGGGCGAGCGCAGGCTGCTGGCGGCGATGGCGCCGCTCGTGCAGGCCGCGGCGCATGGGGCAGCGGCTGGCTGGAGGCGGCACCCGCCAGGTGGTGGCGGCCGCGGTGGCGGCGGCTATCCGCACGTGCGCGGAGGTGCTGGCTGGAGGCGATAGCGGCGACGGCGAGATCGTCAAGGAGGTGGCAGTGCGCGAGGAGCTCGCACGGCCGCACCTGCGGCTCCACGTCGCCGCAGGGCGCGACGGGGTGCGGGCCCAGCCCTCGGGGGCCTGCCGCGCATTCCGTCACTGGGCACTCCACGCGGGCTTCGGGTGCGGGGCGGCGGCGGCGCCTGCGACGGCGGCGGAGGCCAAGAGGCGCGTCCGCGGGCAGCGCAAGAGAGGCCGTAGCGGCCTGGAGAGGGACCCGCCGCCTGCAGGCACGCAGGTGCTGGGGGGCAGCAGCGGGGACTCCTTCTCCGAGGACGCGTCGGAGATGCCGCGCGTGCTGAGCGCGAAGGTGGAGATGAAGGACATCGAGGGCGCCCCACACTGCAAGGCCACGGACGAGCTGAAGGAGAGGTCCTTGCTTAAGCCTGTGGCGAAGCGGATGGGGGAGCCGACGGAAAAAGGCCAGCGAGTACGCCCCAGACAGCAAGGCTGAGAAGGTGGGGGTACTGGTCTCGGACATGAGCGTTGGAGAAGTGCTGGGCCTGGATAGCACTTGCTTATGCAAGGGGAAGTTCCGGTACGACCCCGAAAAGCAGGAGGAGCTGAGGAAGCGGGGCGCGCTGGTCGGGGGCGCGGTCGACAACAGCGCGGAGGCTTGCACGCAGGATTGGTTCATCGGGGAGCTGTCCGTCGAGGTGAGCACGCAGGCGGTGGACCAGGTCGAGGGCGAGGGGCAGCAGCAAGGCGTCGGCTCCGTCAAGAGCGACGCTGACCGAGTGCCGCCGCTCGAGCACGCGCGGGAGGTCAAGGTCGATGCGCAGGAGCGGCTGGCTGCGGCCGCAGCGGCCCAGGCGGCAATCCTGAGCGGCGATCTGGCCGAGGGGCTGCGGTTGCTCGAGGCGGATCAGGTCTTCGGCCAGGCTGAGTGAGGCGTGCAGTTGCATTCAGTATGTAGATCTGGTCTCGCCTCGATGGGGGGTTGGCCGCTGAGGGGTTTGGCCCTTCCGCCTGCCCAGGCCCGAAGAGGCCGCCCCGTTTTGGTTTCGTAGGGGTTTCCCTTTTTAGCCTTGAAGGCCCCGTCTTTAACTTTGACTTTAACAGGTAAGGACATGGCAGAACACACAAGAACACGGCAGCAGAACGCGGCTGAACGCGCAGGGGCACGGCAGCGGCCGCAGGCGGTGGCGGGCGGCAGCAGGTCGCCGCCGCTGTCGCCTCGGCCCTGCGCGCGGGTGCCGCGCTGCTCGCCCCGTGCCAGGCCTCCGAAGTTGAGGGGGGGGTGGCGGTGCGCGAGCAGCTTGGGAGGGCCCACCTGACGGAGATGGTCAAGGCTGGCCGCGCGGGCGTGCAGCCGCGGCCGTCGGGGGCCAGCCGCGCCTTCTGCGGCTGGGCCCAGCGCGCCGAGTTCGGCGGAGGGCCCCATGATGTGCCTGCCGCGGCGCGCGATGCCAGGCGCCGCGGGAGGGGCCGTCGTCGCGGCGCTGGCGACGCTGAGCCGGCGGGGGCGGCGGGCGCGGCGGGCGCCGCGACCGCTGTCGACCTGGAGGCAATAAGAAGAAGCTCGAGGAGGGTCGGGAGGTGAGGGCCCCGTTGAATCCGGCGGAGAAGAAGACGGGGGAGATGAAGAAGCTGGTCTTCCAGTGCGCCCCTGGTGACAAGGCCGCCGACGAGGTGAAGGCGGTGGTGTCGGCCATGGGTCAGTTGGCCCTGGTGAACACTCGGCTCAACAACGGGGGGGCCAAGATCGACTCCGAGAAGCTCAAGGGCGCGAGTGCCCCCAAGGCGACGGCCCAGCTGGTCACGGACTGCCGCGAGGTGGAGTGCAGCCACATGGACGATGGCGCTTATGATGGCGTCGCGGTCAAGGTCGGCGACGGCGACGTGTTCGCGGAGTGCAGCGTTGTGAGCCACTCTGTCGATCCCGTCAAGGGCAAGGGCAGGCGTCTCGAGGCCGGTGCCCCTGGAGGTCGTGCGCAGGAGCGGCTGGCCGCGGCCGTGGCGGCCCAGGCGGCAATCGTGAGCGGCGATCTGGCCGAGGGGCTGCGGCTTCTCGAGGCCGAGTGAGTGAGTGAGTGAGTTAGGCGTGCAGTTGCATTCTTTTTGTAGATCTGTCTCGCCTCGGAGGGGGGGGCGGGCGTCTGAGGGGGTGGCCCTTCCGCCTGCCCGGGCCCGCTGGGGCCGCCCGTTTAGGTTTCGTTGGGATTTCCCCTTTTGCCTTGAAGGGCCCGTCTTTAACTTTAAGTTTAACGCGCAGAACACGCAGGGACATGGCAGAACACAGGGGCACGGCAGAGCGCGCGGGAGCACGGCAGGACACAGGAGCAGTAGGAACACAGCAGAGCACGGCAGAGCAAGCAGGAGCTCGGCAGAACATGCCGGAATATGGCAGAACACGCAGGAGCACGGCAGAACACGCAAAGTATATGGAAGCAAGGCGGAATATATGTGCACAGCGTGCTCCCTGCTCTCGCGGCGCGGAGGCGCAGGCCCTCGGCCAGCGCGGCGGTGGCCATGGCGAGGTCCCCGCGCGGCGGTGGCAGCAGCAGGCGCAGCAAGTCCTACTGGATGTGCAGCTGCGGCGGATGGAACTGGGATTGGCGCACCTCGCGCCTGGGATGCGGGCGTGCGGCCCCGCCCTGGGCCTTGGGGGCGCTCCCAGCCAAGGCGAGGCCCAGGGCGGACAAGGTCGGCTGGGTTGACCAGCCGCGTGGACGCCGTGCCCAGAGGCAGGCCCGCGGCGCGGCCTCGCGGGCAGTCCCCGCCAAGTCGCAGACCTCGGCGTCGGCGGCGAGTGGGGCTCCCAGCGGTGGAGGCGCCGCGGCGATCGAGAGGCTCCAGGCGACAGTCGAGCAGCTCGAGGCGCTGCAGGCCGAGCCCCCTGACGGAGTGGACGGCTGCTTCGCCGACGTCGTGGCCAGGCAACTGGGGGCGAAGCCGTGCCGGGCTGGTCAAGGCACAGAAGGCAGCAGCGGAGCAGAAGGCCTCTTCCCTGCCGCAGGCGGCGCGGCTCCGCAGGGAGGCGAATGCCATCAGCAAGGGGAGAAGCGGCTCCGAGCAGCCCGCCTGGTGCTCGAGCAGAAGCAGGAGGCGCGCGACCTCGTCGAGGCCCAGCTCCAGAAGGCCCAGGAGGATCTCGCGGAGCTCGACGCGGAGGTGGAGGAGGCGAGCTGTGCGCTCCAGACGCTCTAGGAGGCAGTCCGCGAGGAGGCTGAGGCACCGCGCCGCCAGCGCGCAGCCGAGTGGGCAGGTGCCAGCCAGGTGCCAGGGCTCCTCCTGCAGCTGGAAGAGTTGCCTGAGGCGTGGGGCTCCAGCAACTTCGAGGTGGCCTGGGCAGCCATTCAGGCCCAGATGGAGGCAGTGGGGGCGCAGCTTGAGGGGGGCCCTGCAGCCCCCAAGCGTGCGCCGTGGGCAGAATCCTGCCCTATGGAGGAGATCAGCAGCGACGATGGCGATCTCGCGGGTGGCAGCGGCCCCTGGCAGCCCCAGCCAGTCGCAGGGCGAGGCCAAGCAGAGCGGCGCGGCGAGGCGCTGGGCGAGTGGCCGACGGTGGCCCAGGCATGCAAGCGGGAGCTGGCAGCAGAGGCAGCGGACCTGGCCCCCTTGGCTTCCCTTCTTTCTGGCAGGTCCGCTGGGGGCCAGGTCGGAGGGGGGCAGCCAGGGCCAGCGAGGGCCTAGCGCAGCCTGTGCGGCAGGCCTGCGCCTGCACGAGAGCGGCGCCGAGGGAGTCGTGAGCGACCCGGTAGGCCTCCGCAGCATGGGCGTCCGCGACTCGCCCAGGGGCCAAGAGCGCGCTGCAGGGCCCAGCGGTGGCCTCGTCCTCCTGAACGCCGAGGTGAACGTGTTTGGGGCCATCGAGTTCGGCACTGGCGAGTGGGGCGACCTCAGTGACCAAGCTGGTGTACATGGCGACCCTGAAGCAACTTCAGTGCTGCAGCGGCGCCTCGCGAGCTCCCAGAAGCAGGATGGCGGCGAGAGCTCAGCCTCCTGGAGAGCATGGGCCAAGCAGGCCAGGCAGAAGGGCGGCAGGCTCGCCCGCAGTTGTACTAAGGCGGTGCCGCCCCTGCCAGTGGTGGACTCAGAGGCCAGCAGGCCCGTGGCAGGCATGATGTCAGTCGGAATGCAGGAGGCCAACTGGCAGGCCCCTTTGCAGCAGGAGGGCATCAGGTCTGGAGCGGGAGTCGGCAGCTGGGACGTCCGAGGCTTGACGTTGCCGCCCCCTCAGCCTGAAGATGCTTCAGGTAGTTTGCAAGCGCCCGCCGGCAGCGGGCCTGGAAGCTGGCCAGCTTCCCACGCGGCTGCTGCTGCTTCCCCCCTCGGCCCTGCAGTTGCGCGGCCTGGTCCTCTTGGAGGCGCGCGAGGAGCAGCCCCAGGCCCTCGGGGCCGCAGCAGGTGAGCGCCGTGCCTCGCCTGTCTACGCGGTGGTGCGGACCCTGGGGATCGGCGACTGGCACCTGGAGTCCGGGCGGTGCGTGGCCATGGACCTCTGCGACGCGCTCAACCCCAGGTTCCTCGAGCTGCGGGTGATGGGCGCGGGGGCGAGCGCGCCCGCTCAGCAGCAGGCCTGCAGCCGCCATGGGAGGCGGGCCCCCTTCTGCAGGCCCCACTTGCTTCGGCAGTGGCTCGGGGGCGCCGTCGGGCTGGTGCTCAAGCCAGGAGTCGGGCGGTACTTGTGTGTGCGGCGTGCACGCGGAGGTGGGGCAGGCGGATTCGACGGCGAGCAGCTCATCAATGGCTCGGACTGGATCAGCGGAGGGCATGGCAGCGTCGGTGCCCCAGCGGGCTGATGAGGCCCCAGGCTGCGGCGCTCCTGCCATGCGGCCCCGCCTGGAGGACAGCCGCTCGACTGGGAGCAGTGCGGCCGCCCTCTCGGCCGCCGCGTTAGCCTTCAGCGTCCTGGGGCACGTGCCCAGCTATGCCTGCGCGGGCGAAGGCCAGGGCGCCCAGGAGATCGTGGCGTGCACCAAGTGTGGCGCCTGCAAGGTGCTGGGCGGCCGCGAGGAGGTAAGTCGCGCCTGAAGGTGCAGTGCCCAGGGCCCAGCTACCTGACCAACAAGTCGGGCAGGAACCAGCGCAGCCTGTGGGAGCGTGGGCTACGCCCTGGTGGCAGACCTCGAGCGGACAAGCAGAGAGTTAGAGCTGAGGGCATCCCTGCTCTGCGTTTGCAAGGGCCAGTGCCAGGACACGCCCAGGAGCGCTACCTGGAGTGGACAGGCATGGAGGCGGAGCCCGCGGGCGGAGCCTCGGCCGCGGCCGGCAGTTCGGACAGCGGCCCAGCGGCGCACGCGGCTGCGCAGGAAGTGGAGGCGGCGGCAGCCAGCCTGCCCCAGCAGCAGCCAGGGCCGAGCGCGGGCGCCCTCGGAGCTGGTGAGGCAGCCGAGGAGGAGCTCGCAGCCGCGGGAGCCGCACCCAGCGGCGGCCTGGTGAGCCGCAGGGTCCGCCGCCGCCTGGCGCGCCGCGGCTCGGAATACCTGGAGTTCTACCTGGAAGGGCTCAGCGGTGAGGAGGAGCCTACAGGCCGAGCCTCAACCGCGGCCAGCAGCTCGAGCAGCGGCCCAGCGCCCCCCGCGGCAGTGCAGACAGCGGAGGCGGCGGAGGTGACCGCCGCGAGCAGCGCGGCGCGCGGAAGGCAGGTGAGCCGCAGGGTCAGCCGCCTGCTGGCGCACCGCGGCTCGTCGTCCGTGAGCGAGTGAGTGAGGATAAGCATCGTTCGCTCGTGTGTTGCCCCAGTGTGAGTAGGCGCGCGAGGCACGCTCTGCAGTGTGGGGGCTCCTGTGTCCCGTCGCAGTCGAGTTCCCGTTGAGCGCTGGCCCAAGGCGGCCCCGCTCGGAGGCCGAGAGGCGGCCCAAGGTGGCCCTCTCGGCCCCTCTCGGGCTGGCGTGTCTTTGGCCTTTTGGCCCACCACTTTGCCTGCAAGGCCCCGTCTTTAACTTTAACTTTAACGCGCAGGATCACGAGGAGCACGGCAGAACATTCAGAGTACATAGGAATTTGGCAGAACACACAGGAACATGGCAGAACACACAGGACCGCGGCAAATCACGCAAAACACAGGCGCACGGCAGAACAAGCAGCATTATGGCAGAGCACACAGGAGCACGGCATATCACACATGAGCACGGCAGAACACATAGGAGCACGGCAGAGCAGGACCAAGGCAGAATTCACAGGAGCACGGCAAAACACATAGAAGCACGGCAGAACACGCAGGAGCACGGCAGAATTCACAGAACATCTATTCACGCAGCCGCACCAACAGGCACACGCACATAGGCACACGCACACAGGCACGCGCACACGCACACGCACACGCACACACAGACACATACACACGCACCCACAGAGAGGCCACATACGTTCGCGCAGACCGCAGGAGCACGGCAGAGCAGCACGGCATAACATAGCAGTGCCGCAGACCACCACGCAGGGACACACATTCGACGCACGCACACGCACGCGCAAACGCACGCACGCCACGACATATCTGCCCGGCAGACCAAAACAAGAGCATACTTCACATACCTAGTGGACAAAAGCGACACTTCCCGTTCTTGTCCGGTCAGGTTTTGTCTCTATGGGCCTCTTGGGAGTGTTCTTGGAGGCCTCTGGGGCGTCTTGGAGGCTCTCGGGCCGTCTTGAGGCCATCGTGGGCGTCTTGGAAACCTCTCGGGATCTTTGGGACACTTCCAGGTCCCTGGGGCTTCTCGGAGCTCTGTTGGCCCGTTTTGGGCGGGTACGGCCCGGACAGGTCCGGGGAACTGGCGGTCCGGGCCCTTCCAATCCCTGGGTGCAGCAATCCCTGCTGCAGCCGCAGCGCAGCTGTGAGCCTTGGGGCACCCCACTCCGTGTCAGAGGCACCTGTGGCGGATTTTGGGAGGCTCAGAGTGTGAACGCCAACGCCGGTATTGGCGATGGCTTGCGCCGGGGGGAGATGACCCCGATCTCGGTGATGGTTGTAATGCTCGGTCGTTCCAGGTGGCCGAAAGAGTACCACCAGCACCAGACTCTAGGATCATCCCCCCCAGTGGAGACCCCGTCTTGGTGTTGGTGCCACTCTCCAGTCCTCCAACGTTTGCCTGCCATCGCATATGATTGCGCCAGGCCTGCGTTTGGAGGCCGTCCCGTACCTCCTGGGGGCATTCGTCCACCCGAGGTGGCCTTCATCTCCCCCTCGAAGGGCTTGCCTCTGGGCCGGTTTTGCTGCGCCCCGGCGCCCTGGGCGACCCTGGTGCTCGAAACGGATCTCGGAGGTTTCCGACTCGGTTCGATGTGGATCGATTCACCGGCAAAACCTTTACCCGAGCCGGAGGTCGAGCGCGGCGATCCGATTTCGATACGATTCGCTGGCGATCCGATCCGTTTCCGATCCCGATTTCGCGGTTCGATCCAGTTCAGGCCTGCGTGCAATCCCAAGGCGCAGCCGCTGGCTGCGCACGCAGCATCGGACAGGTGGTGTTCTGTTTGCGTGCTCTCAGAGCACGGCCCTCGCGCAACGCGTGTGATGGGCTTGTTTTCCACCACCACTACCATAAGTTCGAGGGGGAAGGGGGTGGAGGACGAGGAGGAGGAGGACGAAGAGGAGGAGGAGGAGGAGGAGGAGGAGGAGGAGGAGGAGCAGGAGCAGGAGGAGGAGGAGGACCCCCTCCCCCGCCAACTTCTGGTGGTGGTGGCGGCGGAAAACAGGCCCATCAGCGTGGGCACCACTCGCAGCCCGGTGGCTCTGCGTGGCAAGTCCCGCACACCCGTGCGGCACAGCTTGTCGCCTGTCTTGTCGCTTCCCATGGCGCGGCCATCGTGGACCCACCAGAGAGAGAGAGAGAGAGCAATTCGTGCACGTCCAGGGTGCATTGGCAGTGAAACGTGCGAGGCTATGCTCGCGCTGGCGCGTCAAAGCAGAAGCGCCGGGCAGCCGTGCGCCGCGCGTGCGCAGACCCAGGCAGTGCCTGTTGTAGAGTTGGTTGTCCGCCAGCTGCTTGGCATGCCAAATCGTAAACACACCGGTTCCAAGTGTTTCTGGGCCGGCCGCGTCTGCGGGGGCCCCGTGGGCGGGCTAAGGTGCAACTCCCTGGCGTGAAGACGCAGCGCCTCACTGCGCTACCATCTGGTTGCCGGGCGACGTTTCCCATCAGGACTGATTGTTTGTATGCCAGCAAAGAACTCAGCTTGCCGCAACCACAGGTGGCGCGCACTGACTCATTGGTGATGTGACTCACATACGAACGCCCTATGCCAGCCACTCTTCGGAGGCACCGTGCTTGGAAGGCGTCCAGCTAAAACCAATCGTGCATTACGCACTGAGACTACTGTTACTGGTCAGCATTATTAAGATGAAGGAGATTTAGTTGATTACTATCGCCCTACAACCACGAAGGACGACTGGGGAGGCTGGAATGGCCCATTCCCAGTTGTATGGAACGATCGCTCGAGTGGAACATCGCGATGTTCAGGTACAGTACGGCGTTGCACGACATTCACTTTATATTGAAGCGTTAATATCTAGAGAAATTGGCTCCGACAACACTGCACTACGGACAGTGTTGACGTTCGTGGCCAGTTTACCTGCGGGGAGACCCGCTATGACTTTTGGCTATGTACCGACCAAGAAGGGGATGCTTCAGATGACGAGTGCAAGCCGTCTATCTCCTAAGGTACACCTAGCTTTGCAAAACCTTATCAGAAACTTCTTCCGCATCGAGAAGGTAGTTTCGGTCAGGTTAGCTAAGAGTATCCATAAGCTACCTGCGGTTGCTTGTGAATCCAGGATTTCACTACTTTGAAGCAGAAGGCACCGCACTGAACATTCACGATATCATTGGGTCAGCACATTCTAGAATCATCCAGTACCTGAAGTCCACCAAACCTCAGGCAGGCTTTGACCAGGACGTGACAAGGTTTGAGGAATCGGCGGATGCACCGACACCGGATGGAACTGCTAGAGAAGCCTCAGAAGCCGAACCACCACATGAATATGGACGGCTTCCTACGGTTTATGAGAAATCGGAGGCTGATCTCGAGGCGCGCGTCATGGAAGTGTGGTACACAGAACTACAAGATGAAGAGGGAACTGCTGGAGGCAAATCCACTAGAGGACCTTTTCACGATGCCCGCGCAGATGGTTCCAGACCGTAGTGTGCTGATCACTGTAGCTGAAGAACAGCGGGGGCACTTGCCTAAGTGGGGACTCCCACGCGATTCCGACGTCGAGGAGACGCGCCACGTCCCATTGTGCCCCATGGTCGAAGACTGCAGTTACGGACTGGACTCAGAGGAAAACGAAAAAAATGTAGAACTCTGCCTTACGGCAGAACTGTCAAAGATAGTCTTGGCCGAACAACAGCATGTGATTTTAGATGCCGACCGTGTGACCACTATGCGAGTATACGTTACCGCCGCTGCAAAGCGAGCTGTGGTCGTCAAGGAAGACGGCCCCCTCGCGAAGGCTGACGTCCAGGCGGATCCCGAGAAAGTATCGAAGGCTCTCTACACCGAACTCAAGGCATGGTTTGACATCAAGTGTTCCAAACTGCAAGACGTATCTAAAGCGTCAAGCATCGTGACTTCGAGGTATGTGTATACATAGAAGTTTATGAAGCATGAGGAGGGCGATATGGAACGCACCATCAGATTACGCCGGGTGCTTCGAGCCTTCATGGGCACTGAAGCCTTCGACGTGGAAACCTTTTCGGGAACGGCGCGGCCGTCAAGCCAGAGACTACTCGCGAGCGCGGCAGCGTGCAAGACGCACTGGATCACTGCTTCCTTCGACATCAACATGGCCTTCCTGGAAGGGTTGACCTGCCAGGGACATGCTAAGGCAACTGGTGGAAAGGAGCGTGTGGTGTGTTTTACTTTGCCGCCTGGATCGGCCACGGTGCGTCGGACTCTCCCAGGATTCGAACACTGCGATGAGTCAAAGCATTGCTTGCAGTGCCTTTAACCAGGCACTGGCACCGGAGACGCACCCCGAGCTTTCCCACTGAAGCTCAGAAGGACCGCGAGAAGATTTGGTCTCCGACCCACGTCCTACGACGAGGAGTTCGAGGCGAGCAGCAACCTGCTTGCGGCCAAACATGTTGATGGTATCAATCTGGCCCGCACTGAGGATACCATTGACAAGTGTGTCAAGTGCGTGGAAGCGTAGAAGACACTTTTGGTAAGTGTAAACGCGACCACCGCACATGCACCAATTGTGCTGTGAGCTATACCATGGCTGAGGACGGCAATGCTACTTTGGACCGCGATGAATATATCAAGCAGCTCCGTCCTATACAACACCCTGAACTTACCAGCGCCGGCGCTGGCGCTCAGGCATCCAAGATGGTTGCATTCATGTTCGTCAGCCTCAGAGGTGCGCTGCCGTATGCATTAATCACCCAGGTGTGGTTGATGGTGCATGTTGGATCTCTACAGCGTGTCCAAGAACCGGCCAATATACAGGTACGACGACTGAGCGCGATCACCGGGAAGCTGCAGGCCTGCCCCGAGAAGATCGTCTATCAGGTGATGACTCCTACGGGCGAGGTCGACTTGCACAGCGACTCAGGTTACCGACGCCTGAGTGGAGACGCTGATGACGACGTCGCAGGCTATGGCATTCGCGGGGCAAACCTGCTACGGCGTGGAAACACGCCATCTGGTAAGCCGGTCGTCCACTTGATCGATGCGTACTGCAAGTTTCACCGCTTGCAGGTCCGCTCGAGTTACTCAGCAGAGACGCTAGCAGCTGCCCACAAGTTGGAGAACTGTTATCCCACGATCGTAACTCTGCGCGAGCTCCACTCAGTTGAAAGACGTAGTTGAGTTGGGTGGCCTGAGCATCGAGGTCATTTTGACCATCGATGCTGAGTCTGTCTTTAAGTCCTTGTCAAGCAAAGACTTGAAGAAGCCGACTGAGTGTACCGTTTTAGGACACATCAATTGGATACGACAGATGATGGAGCGCGGAATCGTGCACAGTATTCAGTGGTGCGACACCCGCGATATGACTGCGGACGGTCACACCAAGGGGAGCATCCACAGAGAGATGCTCCTACAGGTCATGGAAGGTATACAAGCCGTCCAGAATAATTTAAAACATCACTCTCCCTATCGGACTGGCCAGACATCCTGTTCTGTAGCCGCCTGAGGAGTATCTTTATGCGCAGAATGGTACAGGCAAGGGAACTTGCGTGCGGGTCCACCTTCCTTACGGCCCCGCTCTTTTGCGGTCCTTTTGTAGATAGTAGCTGCTGTGCCTGCTGTATAGGTGCGGCGGACTCACGCTTCGTCTCCGTCCCCCCCGACTCTAAAGCGAGCTGGGGACACACAGGGAGCGGAAGCGAGCGTGTACCCGCGGCCGCGTCGGCTCAAGCGGCTGGCCGCCCAAATGTGGCTGCGCCTCATTGCGAGGCATGCTATTCGCGATCGAGACCAACACACTGCTTAAGAAGGCACGCCCTCTATTACTGGGACTATCGTTACTATGGTACATCAGAGCTGGGGCTGGGCTTCGCCTAGGGCGAAGCTGTTGGTTGGGTATTCCAACCCCTTTTCCGACTTTGGGACCCTTTCGGGCCGTCTTGGGGCGTCTCGGAGGTATTCGGCCGTCTTCGGGCTATCTTTGGGGCCTCTTGGGGTCCTCTTCGGAGCCTCTTGGGGTGCTCCTGAGGCTCTCTTGGGGCCGTCTTGGGGTTTCCCTGGTAGTTTTTGGGCCCTCTTGGGCTGTCTTGAGGCCTTACGTGGAGCTCCATATGGAGCCACGCAACGTGTGAGGGGTGTGCCCAAATGGGGCGGCGGCGCCACGCGAGCTTCGCCACTAGGGAGGAAGGGGCGGGAAGGGGGGAGGAGGTTGAGGAGGAGAAGAAGGACGAGGAGGAGGAGGAGGAGGAGGGACACGAAGAGGAGGATAAGCGTGATGATCAAAAATATGATGATGATGGTGGTGGTGGTAATGGTGATGATGATGAGGCTGATGATTATGATGGTGATGGTGATGATGGCGATGCTGATGATTTTGCGGATGATGATGATGGTGATGATGATGATAATGATGACGATGATGATGTGGATGCTGATGATGATGATGGTGATGATGATGACGATGATGATGATTATGGTGATGATGATGATGCTGATGGTGCTGCTGTTGATGCTGCTGCTGATGATGATGGTGGTCAGTGGTGGTGGTGGTGGTGATGAGGATGAGGAAAAATGTGCAGTATAAAAGTATGATGTAAAGGTGGACGAGGAGTGGGAAGGTGATGGCGAGGAGGCGGAGGATTAGGAGGCGGGAGGAAGGAAGAGAGGAGTCGGCGGCGGAATTGGTGGAGGAATGGAATTGGAGGGGGCGGGGGAACAGGAGGACGAGGAGGAGGAGGATCGCTGTCGTCGCCGAGGGTCGCCACCGGTGGCGTTGTCTTCCCGTCCGCCGCCTCTGCCGATGCCGCCGCCGTCGTCGCGGCCGCCGCCGTCGCCGTCGCCGCCGCCGTGGACGTCGCCTTGTCGCCGTCGTCGTCGTCGTCGACGTTGTTATGGCCGCGGTCGCTGGCGCCGCTTCCGCCGTCTCACATGCCGTGAAGGGGGGGTGGGGCACGAGTTGCCCGCTTGCGTTTTCCTTTGCATCTTCACGGTCATATCGAGCATCGCTTCGCACTTTGCACTCTGTGGCCGCGGCCGTCTCCTGGGGGCGAAACGCGCCTTTTCCGAGCAGGCCCCAAAGCCTGAGGCGCATGGTTCCTCATCCGATGTTGTAATTTTCACTGCGCTGCGCCCCAGAGGGCTGGACCTTTTCCCCAGGACCAGATTTTCATCCTGCGACGTTTTTCGACCGTCCCAGGGCCCAGTGAGGGCTCTCCAGAGGCCCAAAACGGCGAAAACCTCCCGCCGTGTTCTTCACGACGCGAGGATGTCTGGGGTCGTCGTCGTCGTCGTCGTCGTCGTCGTTACCGTCGTCGCCGTTCTCGTCGTCGTCGTCGTCGTCCTCGTTCTCGTTACCGTCGTCGCCGTCGTCGTCGTCGTCGCCGTCGCCGTCGCCGTCGTCGTCGTTGCCGTCGTCGTCGTCGTCGTCGTCGTCGTCGTCCTCGTCCTCGGCGGCGGCGGCGTCGGCGCCCTCGGCGTCCCCGCGGGGCGCTCGAGCCCGAGGCCGCCGGCGCACAGCGGAGGGCCTCCTCCGGCGCCGCGGCGCGGGGCGCCCCGCCCCAGGATCGCGGGGGAGGAGGAGGAGGGACAGGAGGAGGAGGAGCAGGAGGAGGGGGAGGAGGAGGAGGAGGAGGAGGAGGAGGAGGAGGAGGAGGAGGAGGAGGAGGAGGAGGAGGAGGAAAAGGAGGAGGAGGAGGAGGAGGAGGAGGGAGGAGGAGGAGGAGGAGGAGGAGAGGAGGGAGGAGGAAGGGGAGGACGAGGAGGTGGAGGAGGAGGAGGTGGAGGAGGAGGAGGAGGAGGAGGAGGAGGAGGAGGAGGAGGAGCAGCAGGAGAAGGTGCAGGACGAGGGGAAGAAGGAGCTTCGCCGCTGCTCGCAGGGGGGCGGGAGGACGGGGACTTGAATCGGGCATGTGCCTCTGCAGCTCTACAGCCGGAAGGTTCGCGAATCATCTCAAAGTAGTCCGGGGGCGATTTGGCGGGCTCCTCTTGGACTATTTTTCAGTTTGTTTGGTCATTCTATAGGCTTACGCCACATCCGCCGACCCCTATATAAACTACTGCGTCTCCAGGACTGCATTTCACGAGGCTTGTTCGAATCATGACACGGCGCTCGACATCGTTCCTGTTGCTTCGTTGCTGTTATCGTATATTTTGGTGCTCTTTTGCGGCCTTTTAGTGGCATCTTGGCCTGTCTGCAGGCCATATCCGGCCGCCTCGAGGCATCTTGGGCCAAGTTTTGGGGCCTCTTGTGGGCTTCCTGGGGGCTTCTTGGAGGCCTTTGAGGTTCTCTTGGGGGTCCCTCAGGGCCTCTTGGCTTGTTCTTGGAGCGCTGGGGGCGTCTTCGGGCCGAAGGCTCGAAAAGGTGCCCTGTGGGCTCCGTCTTGGAGCCGTTTGGGGGCCTGCTTCGGTTGTCTTGGGGGCTACGGGGGCTGTTGTTGGACCCTCTTCGACCCTTCTTGGGGCCCCTTTGGCCGTCTGGTGGCGATATTGAATGTTTCTCTGCCGGTCTGGGACGTTGTGAAAACCGAATAGGCGAGCATGCGAAAAATGTTTGTTTTTCTAAGGGAATGGGGCGATTTCTTGTTTCCTGGGACTCTTGGGGCGCATCTTGGAGCCTTTTGGGGCGTTTTGGCAGCTTCGGAGGCCGCCTGGAGGCCATCGTGGGCGTCCAGGGCGATATTTCGGCGAATCGTGGCCCCCTAGGACCGTCAGGGGAGCGTTTTGGTGTCTTCTTGGCCAGTTTTGGAGCCCTCCGCTCCCCCGTGACGCGTTCGGTCCGGGGTCGGGCTGGGCGAGGACGGGGGCGTCGAATTGCCGGTTTGGGGTCCCTGGGGGGGATTATGGGGGGGGATAATCTCACACGCCTGGAGACCCACAAGGGGTTGGCGGATTATGATGATGATGCTGCTGATGACGATCTGTAATGGTGATGGCGATGCTGATGCTGATGTTGCTGCTGCGGAGTACGATGATGGTCATGCTGATGATAATGCTGCTGATGATGCTGATGATGCTGATGATACTGATGATGATGATGATGATGATGATGATGATGATGATGATGATGGTGATGGTGATGGTGATGATGATGATGATGATGATGATGATGATGATGATGATGATGATGATGATGATGATGATGATAATGCTGCTTATACTGGTAATTGTGCTGATGGCGACTGTGCTGCTGCTTATGACAAGGAGGTTGATGCTGTTGTGAGTGATGATTAGCATCCCGTTGACCATGAGGATGCTGATGATACTGATGACGATGGTGGTGATGATGCTGATGGTAATGGCGGTGCTGATGATAATGGTAATGATGATGCTGATGCTGCTGATGATGATGTGATTCGGATGATGATGATGCTGATGATGATGATGACGATGATTCTGACGATGATGATGATGATGATGATGATGATGATGATGATGATGATGATCATGATGATGATGATGATGTCGATGCTGATGGTGCTGAGACTCTTGACGATGCTGCTGATGATGCTGCTGATTATGATGATGATGCTGATGATGCCGAGGCTACTGGCGACGCTGCTGATGATGATGATGTTGATGTTGATGGTGATAATGCTCATCATGCTGATGCTGACGCTGACGCTGCGGCTGCTGATGATGCTGATGCTGATGATGAGTTGTAGGAGGCAAAATTTGCTGATGATGATGCTGCTGATGATGGTGATGATGCTGATGATAGTGATGATGCTGCTGCTGCTGCTGCTGATGATGATGATGATGATGATGATGATGATGATGATGATCATGATCATGATCATGATGATAATGCTGATTGTGATGCTGACGGTGATGCTGGCGATGATGATGCTGATGATGAGGGAGGAGGGGAAGGAGCAGGGGGAATATGGGTGAGAGGCGGAAGGGGGGGTCAGGCTTTTCGCGAGGTTCGCGGAGGTAATTTCGAAGCCTCTTGGAGGCCGTTTTGGGGCCTCTTGGAGCCTCTTTTGGGCTTTTTGGGAGCCTTTTATGTTTCTCCCAATATTCCCCTGTAGGGGGACATGCCCGACCCAGGAGTTCCAGAGCGCTCTCAGAGCGTTCCGGAACGCTCTGAGAAGGCCGCGGCGCCCGAGGCATCTTCCAGTGCGGCGGGATCTCCGAGATTCTCGATTTTTCGTTACCCTACGTTTTCCTTGTCCTGGCTTCAGGGAGGAGGGAGGAGGGGGCGGCGAGAGACCCATTTTGAAAGGAGCGGCCCTGCATCCTCGTAGATGTTGCAAGCTTTCAAGGCGAATGTGCGCGGCGCTTGGGCGAGAGCTCCGCTTTGAAAACGGACTCTATTCCATCTTTGAGTTTTCGCAATTTTTTAAGTCGAATGTGCGCGGCGCTGCTGCGACAGCTCCAGTTTGACCCCACCTCCATCTGACCCCCCTCCTGTCCTTGTACCTATTGCACGTGTGAGCTTCATTTTGAAAACCATTCTCTCTCTCTCTCCATCTGTGTAACTTCTGCAATTTTCAAGCTTCAGGATCAGAAGTGGCGAGAAAGTATCCGGCGAAACGCCCAGCCCGCTAACCGACATGTCGGGGGGTAAAACAGGAAGGAGTTGTTTGTGAGGACGAGGGATGCTGTGGGAGCAGGAGCAAGCGGAGCAGGAGGAGGAGAAGTAGGGGGACGATCAGTGCACAAGAAGGGAGGATGGAGTAGGAGTAGGAGGGGGGAATGAGTACGATGGGAGATGATGGGTGACGGAAAAGGAAGAGAAGGAGGAGGAGGATTAAGGCGGGAGGATGAGGAGGGACGAGGAGTAGCAGGAAGAGGATCAGGAGGGAGTTGTAGGAGGAGGAGGAATAAGAGGATGATGCTGCTGCTGATAATGATGACGATGATGACGATGATGATGATGATGGTGATGATAAGTATGACGACGATGGTGGTGATGACGATCATGATGATGATGATGATGATGATGATGCTGATGATGATGATGATGATGATGATGTTGCTGCTGCTGCTGCTGATGATCATGATGCTGATGCTGATGCTCCTGCTGCTGCTGATGGAGATGATGATGATGATGATGATGATGATGATGCTGATGCGGATGATGATGACGATGACGATGACGATGACGATGACGATGATGATGATGATGATGATGATGATTCTGATGCCGATGATGATGATGCTGATGAGAATGCTGCTCATGTTGATGCTGATGATGAAGCTGATGATGATGACGATGATGCTGATGATGCCGATTATGATAATGATGACGATGATGATGATGATGATGATGATGATGATGATGCTGATGCTGCTGCTGATGATGGGGAGGATGAAGGCGATGATGAGATGATGATGAGGATGATGAGGCTGCTGCTGCTGTTGAGGATGATTATGATGATGACGATGATGATGATGATGATGATGATGATGATGGTGATGGTGATGGTGATGGTGATGGTGATGGTGGTGGTGATGGTGGTGGTGGTGATGATGATGATGCTGATGATGATGCTGCTGCTGATGCGAATGCTGATGATGCTGATGATGACGATGATGCTGTTGATGCTGATGATTCTGATGATGGTGCTGATGACGATGACGATGCTGATGCTGCTGATGATGATGATGATGATGATGATGATGGTGATGATGAGGATGCTGATGCTGATGACGATGCTGATGATGCTGCTGATGCTGATGCTGATGCTGATGATACTGATGATGCTGATGATGCTGCTGCTGCTGCTGCTGATGATGATGATGATGATGATGATGGTGATGGTGATGGTGATGGTGATGGTGATGGTGATGGTGGTGGTGATTGTGATGGTGGTGGTGATGGTGGTGGTGGTGATGATGATGATGAGGAGGAGGAGGAGGAGGAGGAGGAGGAGGAGGGAGGAGGGAGAAGGAGGAGGGAGGAAGGAGGATTTTGCCGCTGCGCTGCTCAGGTTCCGCGTTCTGTCGACCTCCGGGAAGGCCCGAGCAGCCGTTGGGCACGGCACTGAAATCTGACGCCGGCAGACGCACATGCACCAGCGCGCCGTCGTGTTGGCACACGCCCTCGCAGCGCAGGAGTCGACGAGTGCAGGGGACTGGTGCCCACGAGGGACGATCAGTCGAAACGGTGGGTCACACTGTTGGCCTCTGCGTCTAGCCAAGCGGTGTTGAGCTTGGGGTGCCTGCCAGCCGTGATCCGACTCCAGTAATATTAAGCGCTCCGAGGGTTAGCAGGTGTCCCACTACAATTCGTGCTGAGATGCCTGACATAGTTATCCGTCGAAAGCCTTTTTGCTACGGAGGCAGGTGCAGATAATGCCTCTGTCAGAGCGCGCGAGGCTGATACATTCATTTCTACTCAAAATCTTGGAGCTTGTCGACCTCAAGACGATGCTTCTTAATACACGCCGGACTGTTACGAGGCCCCCCCCGACAAGCACGCAGACCGTGGCTGCACTGCCAAAACGATCTGACGCGCCTTCTCCTCCTTCTCCTCCTAGTCCTCCTAGTCCTCCTAGTCCTCCTAGTCCTCCTCCTCCTAGTCCTCCTAGTCCTCCTAGTCCTCCTAGTCCTTCTCC